AAATCCTTGCATCTTAAGATGGTCTTGCATTAGGGAAGAACCCTGAAAAGAAAAATTGTTTATAAACACCTGCATCTTATTATACAAAGCAGAATATATAAAACTAGAATAATTTTAAATTAAGAGACACTTAAAGGAGACCAAGAAACCTGCATACCAACTTATTTATAGCTAGTAATCACCAAATTGATGTCTAAACTGTGTTTATTATGATCCTTTAACTGAAACTCAAGGGGATATAGAATCCAGCCAGTCACTCACAGAGGTGAAATTCAGTTCCTTTTTGTATTTTGATAGACCTGCTAGCAGAAAGCTGTAAAAAAAAATTTCACTGAAAATCTACTCTACCCTTGAAAACATCTCAGTAAAGTTAATATAAAATTTTACTTTTGCTACAGTATAATCAATTCTATTTCACACTGGCTACACAATTAGTCTGGTCAAACTTTAACACACACTTGAGAATAAATCCAACCATAGCAGTCAGAACCAACTGACATTTTGAAAAATTGCCCTCTGTCTCAAGCTTAGAGTTTGCATGTGTTTGTTCAAAATAATGCACGCTTTGAAGATCTAAAAAACTAAATTCAGACACAAACAAAATCATAACATTATACTGCAAATAGCTCTGCCTTTCTATCCTTTCCCAATTTCTTGTTTACATGCTTTCTGGTTTATAGATGTACAGGTTCCACTAGAATCCACACGTTCATGAATGTTCTCCACTTTACAACAATAAAATATTTCCTAGGGCCCATTTCAAGATATTCCTACAATGTAATCTGGCCACTTACCTACAGCTTCATTCACAGAGCACTGAACAGGCACGAGTCTGCTTGGACTTCTGTCTTAATTTAGGTAGGAAAAGAATCCCCTGTTCCCCCCCCGTCCCCTAAGAGTTTAGCCATTTTTAAACACTTCACTTGGATAACTAACTATTCAATTACTAAGAAAATTACTCAAATCAATATTTAATGCAGTTCATGGGAAATACAGGTTTGCCTGCATTTTCTAGTTCATACTGAGAGCAACCCTTTAGATGGATTACAATTAGAAACCATCATGACACCTCCTAAAAACTTTACATTGACTCAAACTTCTCATATGACAATCTGATAGCAAATTATCTTGCAGGCTGGTTTACAGACAAGAGAAGGTACAACAGTGCTTAAAGACTTCAATGAATAGCAGGCCAGCTTTGCCAGAATGACGAAAGCTCTGTGAACCTTTCTTTCTTCAAGGTTACCTCCCTTTCAGGAACACTCTGTGAGCCCAGGGGTCTTGCAAAACTACAGGACTGTTATGTGTAATCTTTAATCTCTCAACTGATTGCTCCTGGATGTAGCAACTAGCCTACACGGTATCAGCTTCAGAATCTAACTTAAAACAGCATCTCACATCAAAACAACAAAGAAGGGAATTTATATGCAGACAAATGTTCATACGTACATTTGTTTTTCTTACCTGTGCCCCCAAGTCATTGTAAAGAAATTTCAATGCTGTCAGTTGTTCATCCATCCCTTTGGGATTATCTGTCTGCTGTTTCTGTACAATTTGCCTTCCTGTCTTGATGACCGTTTCAACCTCCAACTTAACCTCACTGAGGGTCTTATAGAGTTTCTAAAAACACAAATATGTATATTGGTGATCAATTTGTAGTGTAGATTTTCAGACTTTGCTTCATTTGAGGACATGACCAGCAGATTGCACTTAAACTCTGAGCTATGGATTAAGAGCAATGTCTGCCAAGAAGACTTCAAACTCCTGATGTTCCATATTTTATTCTAGTTTTAATTTTCACCCCCCAAAAAAGTTATCCCAATAATTTAGTAGTGTTTACTCCATAACATCACCACATGTGGCAAAGCTAACATTGTGATCTGTACTTGATCTTATGTATAGTATTTGTTTTGTTCAAATACTAAGAAGCAAGCAAACTTGCCCCTGAAGTGATGCTTGTCCGTAACACGAGGATGAGCCACGGAAGGGAGTTGATAAAAACTCAGCTGTTCCACCACATCTGTGATCAACAATCCACTACTGTTATGTCCACATTCTCACCCAGAAGAATTAGAGGGTTTTAGTTATCAATTGTTCTGCTGGCATTTTGCAAAGAGTTGTAACAGTTTCATCAGGACTTCAAGCAGAATTTCCTCAGGAGAGAGTTTAAGCAAGAAGAATCACACAAGAAAGAAACACCCCCAAGCATGAGTTAAGAACATTGCATACTTACCATGCACCTGTCCAGATGAGCTTGGATTACATCTGGGTCAGTATCCTTCACATCCAAGACATGAAGTTCTGCTTTTACACCATCCAACACCCGCTTGCAATCCAACATGCGCTGCTCAAAATTGGCTGGTTTCTGGAAAAGCTGATACTTTGTAGATACTTCACGGAGTTTTCTCTGTTTTAATGAATATTATATTAAAATATTGTTTTAAATTAATATCTGCACTTCAAAAAATAACATTTAAAGCATCTCCCTGCCAATACTAACTCACCTCTCATGTGGTGAGTCTCACCACCACAACTCAGTATACGTGGCAACACTATTTGCCGAGCCAAATTCCATCACCTATTCCTAATCTCCACCTGAGGTGCAAGAAAGCTGTAATTCTGTATCATACACTTTCAAAATATCCATTCTACTAAAATACAGAGACTTTCTGACTTTCAGCATTTATCCCATGATACTTATGAAATTTAAACTTCCTTATTCAATTCATCTAGTGCTGCTTGTATCCTAATGAAAGCATGTAAAAGCATATACTATTTACTTCTGAGGTTCGGTTGACCACACCAAGCAATTTACAGACTGACAACAGCAGTGTGTAATTGAAAACCAGAAGCTCTTCACATTTAAATTCTTAGTGCGACTCTCATATTTTTACCTGCAAAGCATCCAGCTGAGTTCCACCACGGGGAGACCGGCATTCAGGTCGAGCACTTTTCTTGAGTTCCTCTAAGGTGGATTCATGAGCTGCAATCTCAGCTTGAATTTTCTGCCACATCATGGAAACAGGAAAAAAATATGTTACAAAATTACTTGCAGAGAGGGGAAGAGGAACTTGCTTACCACCTACCACCGACCAGAAGTAAATCCACTCTGTAAAAGTTAAACACTACCAGGTTTATTTTAAATATTCTGGCTCTGATGACAGCTTGCTAAATTGAAAGCTGTTAAGATTGTTATTGATACAACCTTCTTAAAACAGGAAATAAAATCCAGATTACAAAAGATATCACCTAGTACATCAGCTGAAGCTACTGAAATGAATTACTAAGTCTAGGCTGAGCACTATCATGAGGTATTTCAAAATGTTTTCTAGTGAAAAGCTATACTGGAATACCTGGGCCTCCTGGGGCATCTGAAAGGCATCTACCCTATCAGTCAGGTAAGATGTCAGCTGTCTATCCAGCTCCCCTAAGTTTTCCTGCAAGACCTGCAACATGTGGTCAGTTTCTCGCATGGTCTGAAGCTGCTGTTCCAAGGCGATCTGCCGACTCACCGCCTGAGTGGGACAGAAAGGTAAGACAATATGGAGCAGTAATTCAATACAAATGACATTAAACTTTCTCAAAACAAAGTGGGGGAGACCCAAAAAATCCTGTGCCAGCAGGACTGTCTAGAAAGAGCAGAAGCGAGCCCTAGAAGGCAGCAATTTTTGAAGCCTGCTATGATTCATACCAGTAACTGACAAACAGTGGCATAGAAGGAGATTCTGCTGCTAGATATACAGGATAGCGAAAACAGGGTACTTTCCTATCACCCCAGGAAGAAAGTACTCTGTTAAAAACATACCGGTTTCAAAAACTAGCTATTCAATAGGAATCAGGGACTTTGTAATACACTATAGATCAATATTGTTTGATTTGTAAACTTGCACATTTTCTTTCAAAACAATAAACTCTTTTGTTACAGTGTGAAAACAGAGGTTCACAGTTCCTTCCCTCCATTGCCTCTCCTTTCAACAGCAAAACTTCTAAGTTCATCTGAAACGTCACTACTTGCATGGGAACACAAATCCCCCACTATCAACACATGCACAGACCAGTGGGTGCATACATACACACACAGAGATGTGGAAAGTTGTCAACAGCCCAGTGTGTCAGCGCTGCAGCTGCCAAAGCAGACAGTTTTTATATGGCAATAAAGTACTGTTGTAACAGTACTTTACAATGGTGAATGCTAACTTAAATGACAGCACGTAGCCCCCAGCTGAGGGCACTGTATTCATGTTGCTCACTGTAATGAGGATGAACTGAAATTCCCTCTGTGACTGCACTTTGGCAGTGACAGAAAAAACCTCCCATCTTACAATTTGGCAGGGTCCTGTATTACCAGGATACAGAACACAAATTACAAATTTATGCAACCTGAAATACAGCTAGTCTTCCTCTACTTATTAAATCTAGAAAAGATTAGACTGAAGTATGAGAAGAGGAAGGGGACAACATAATAGATGGGGAATGAGAAGAATGTTTTATGTTTTCCTTCTGTTCCCTATTTCCATGTGACTTCTTCCTAGCTATTTCATTTTTACAGTTAGTGAGCAGCTCACCAGTATTTATGGCAGTAGGAAGGGAATATTAACCTCAGTTATTGAACTGTCCCCTTTGAGATTGGAATTGCCTTTTTGTCAAAATTACCTAGAAAAATACCAGGGTGTCCCCGCAGTGCAAGGGTGTGCAAAGTGTGCAAAACAAAACCTGACTCAAGTCGGGGCGGGGCGGGGGGGAAACCGTCTTGCTCTTAGGGCATTATTCCAAACTGAAAACAGCTGACAACATTGTGAAGGTTTTTCCTCTTTTCCTGTATTGCAGTCCTGCATCTATGAATTCAGCTATCTAACAGAAATCATTTCAGACCACTGAACTGAAAAACCCAGTCTACTTCAACCCTACCCCCAAATTCTTACCAAGTGACTCAATTCCTCATAGCGGGCATTGAAAGCCTCCAATTTTTCACTGATGATATCATCAAGAATCCCTCCATCAATCAGTGTCTGCCCAAGTTCCCGAATCTGGGTTCGATTATCAGCTGGATGACGCAGGACTGATTCCAGGGACTAATTAGCAGAGAAAGTTTTAAAGGTCAAGACATCTAATATTACTGCATTTTCATAGGTGGAAATCTGGCTGCATGCACAGAAGTTTTATACTTCAAATGTCTTGAGAGTGCTCTAAAAGCATGAATTAGTTATGGCTTAATCCATGATGGCACAAGGCAAATACAGTGGTCATTTTGCTTTAGATAATGAAACTTCACAGCACTTCTCACCTATTCACATCATTTCATACTATAGTGCTGGAAGGAATTAATCAATTTACACAGGACAGGGGAGAGCACACAATTTTATCATAGTACCCAGTACGGCACAATCATGTACAGCAAAATTCAGCTTTTCGTAGAGGATCTTACAAATATCCATTCCAGGTTCAGAGTAATATGTTCATTTAACCTGAAGAATCAGAATATTCAACACATTTTAGTATTATACTGAAGTGTAGAATTTAAGTTTTTTTAAACAAAGCTATCTGAAGTCAATCTGATAGAATGACTACAATACCTCAAGAGCGTCATTGACAGCATCCAACTTATCAGGCAGATTTTCTGTAATTTGCACCCTTTCCTCCAGATTGTTTAGCCAAGCTGTTTCTAAATCAAGATACTGAAGCAGCTCAATCCAACAGGACCACACCTCCTAGGAGCAACAGAAAAAACATAAATTAGCCTAGAATGCCAGGCATAGCTCATATACCCTATGAGCAGCTTAAAGAAATTATGTTTCTGAGCTATTCACCTAAAATAGGCAAGTAGAAAATATTCAAAAACATGCCATGGCACAGTAAGTTCTAGACACAAAAATCTGCAACTATAGCAGCAAGATAAAAAGAAATACGCAAAATACACATACAAGTCTCTAAACTCATGCTAAAATTATCACTGACATCCAGATTCTTGTAACGATTTAAGAATGTAACAAAACGCATCCACTCCTCTTGAAAGATAGGACATAAACAACCTACCCCAAACTATAATCAACATGTTCTAATTATCATCATATTTCATTTAATCTCCGAGAAGTTTCTTTTTGTCATTTTGGAAGATGCACGGATGGATAACAGAGCTGTGAGACAAGGTTACTTATTTGCACAAGTGTTGATTACAACACAGATTATAAAAGCAAAGTTAGATGGTGTCTCATGGATTCCAAGGATGTCATCTCAAGGCAAAGTAATCTTGGAAGGGAGCCACAGCAAAATGCGTATATGCTGAAGCTAATGGATTCAGTGACAAAACTGGACTTTCAGTGTCCTTTCTCCATTCCTCTTATGCCACGTGCCTCCGTTTTACTAAGCTGAGAGCTATCATTCTTACCTCTAAAGTGTGGCATTTCCCCCGGATCCGATTGCACAGTAGCTGGTAGTTCTCCAGCACAACGTTCAGCTCAGTCGCCAGGTCCTGACCGCTAGACGGCACTTTGGCAGCCAGCATCTTGATGTTGTCTCTGAGAATCTTCACCCGCACCTCTTTCTGCAACACATCCTCCTTTGCTCTCTGCCCAAAGAAACGTATTATACGATCAGCCCTCAATTGCCATACGGTCAGCTATTCGCCACTCAAACCAAAGATCAGCAGTTTAACCTTGGAAATGTTGCTGCCAAAGTATTCTTGGGTCTGAGCACAACAAAACATGGTACTAACTTGCATGGAATTCAGATTATGTTAGTAAGCGTTAAAAAATCCTATTTTATTAAACATACAGACATATTTACCATTTATGGTTTGTTCATTAAAAATCCATGACTCAAAGCAAAAAAGATTAAGTTCAGTGCTATTTATACGCTAGCATACAGATATGAAAAAGATAAATGAACCAGGAAAAAAAAAATAGAGGTTTGCTAAAAACAAGCATATCAGGGAGAAAAAGGTAGGGTGAATTTACAGAATTATGAGCCTCAGAGCTCAGTAACTAACTCCCAAAGTTATCCAGGAAAGATGATGTAATTACCCAGGACATGTGCAACTACAAAGTTGGGACCTCTCCCACAGCTGGTGGGTGTGCTAGAGGAACATGCAGAAAGGAAAACCAGAAGAATTTCTTCAACCCAACTGCACTCAGAGGAGCTTGGTAACAAATATACAGGATAAGCACAGAACAACTCCCAGCACACAGGCCTGGAGAAATCATATTATCAGTTGTCGAATTTTGCCCTAACCAGAATTCAGGAAGGACAGCTGGGAGACAGATCGTGCAGACCAATCCGAGGCCCACCTCTACTGAGACAACTAGAAGGCTCCAGAAATAGAGACTGTCCCATCTCTCTTTCTTTTCAGGTTTCAAGGACAGTTTTATGAAATTGAAGTACCTCTGATATATAAGGCACTGCACTTTATGGTAGAATTTAGTACATGACAGCATTATTGTTGCACATATTGTTCGAGATGTCTTCTAAATGTAAGGCAATCAAAAAAAAATACCAGTTAATGGAAGGGCAAAGAATGGAAAATCTGGGGAACATATTATTTTATGGCAGGATTATCAAAAGCCACCTAGCCTCATCTTAAAACTGCTCCTTCAAATGCCAGCAGGAGTTCCACTCCCTGTTCAAATGACAGCAGAATTAGGAAAGCTCAAAAGTTTTTCAAAACCTTATGCAAAAATGCTCCTGGTCAAATATACAGAGAGTGTTCTTTCCCAGTCCTAAAAGTAGTCCCAGCATAATATTCTTACTGCAATGAAAGAGGATATGCAAGTGTTACAGTAAGCTTACTGGCTCACTGACACATCTGCCAAATTTAAAAGTACAGAATATAATCTGGATTTGACAAAGGTAAATGTGCTCAAAGTCTCTCAGATTTGCCAATGAAAAGAGGGTTCTTTCTTTTCTTGCAGGCTGTCAGACTATGATCTCAAATGGCTTCAAAAGACATGAATAAATTAAAACACTTGTTAAAGACTGCTTCAGAAAGCCCCTTCAAAAAGAACAATTCAAAACTTCAAATAGATTTGTCAAAGCACTTGTAAGGGAGAAAAAAATTTTATTTTATGCTCCATCGAGTAACAGTATAGTGGATACTCATTTAAATAACGTGCATACAAGTCAAAACATTTGTGAAGATATGCCTGAACTCTCAGATTTAAAAGCAGAGAGAATTATTGTTTACTCTGTACATACATCCAAGAAAATTATCTATTCAACTGGTAATTTATAATGAGACAAAAATAGCTCCTTCCTCTCCATTTTATTGGCCACCAGTCCCAAAATTAGAGAAGCAGGGACCAGCATTACTGTCTGTAACAGATGAGGAACACAAGATAACCCTACAACAGAACTGTTTAAACTGCTTTTCTAAACGTGGAGTTACTATTTCTAGGGGACAAGAAACTGAAGCCCAACAGCTAGAAGCAGAAGAATACGTTTTCACAACTGCTAATTTAGACAGGTATAATACCACCTTTTCTTTCTTTCTCGAGTTTCGTCTCCTGCAGTAAGTTTCCATTTTCTTAGTATTTAATATGCTATACATAGCAAGCCTGGCTCAACAGCTGGGCAAGCTGCTATTCATTACGAAATCCCTACCCCTCGTGGCCAAATAGAACATCTGCTTTTACAGTTTGTACTTTAAAAACAAAAATTCCACAAAGCAAAGCTGAAAAATACCACTAATCTTGTCATGACCTGAGCTCCTTTCCACACAGATAATAATTTCACAAAAGGTCAACCCCCAAAGCCATTAAGTTTTGTTTCTCTTTAATCAGGTCTCTACAATGACCTGGTATTCCTGACCTTCATTTCCTCCACTGCATTCTCTAGCTCTTCAGGGGACTTGTATTCAAAATCTTTCTCCAAGTATTCTTCTTCAGCTTGGGTCATCCATTCTTGCATCTCTGCCAAATCCTTCTTCAGATTTACAGCTTTTTCCTGACTTTCAGACAGGCGATTTTTCTGACTAACGATCTAGAATCCAAGGTGGAGAAAGAAACAGCAGTTTTGTTACTTAAATGTCCTTGTATATGTGAAAAACCACAAGTCTTTGTTAAAACATTTTACTACCAAAACATTTTCAGGCCTTTTTAATTAACTAAAGACTTTGACTTTTACACACACACACAAACTCATGATCCCTTTTTAGCAGATCAACAAAATCTAGAGGTGAGGGAAGGAGGAAAATGACCTTTTTTTCCTCATTGCATGTAAACTGGTAACAATCCCTGGAAAAAGAGGGGAAAAAAAACCCTCTTCTGACCACAAGTATCATATATTTAGTATCGTATCTTTATACAGAGCACTAAAACACCCTTCAGGCCTCGTTTCTTTCTACAGCCCAGGCAATCTGGATGTTATATCAACAGCAAGGTTCTCCAACACAGATCCTCCCCAGGCATTGCACCGAAAGAAATATGTTTCTACAGACAGCAGAAAGCTTCCACCCAAAAGAAACAACCAAGTACACCAGACTGAAGTGGTAGTCTATTTATAGCCGTTTATTTTTTTAAAGGTGCTTGGAAGCAGGCAGAAGTTACACAGGGCCAGAATAATATTCCAGATTTCAGGAACAACAGAACAAAAAGGTCAGACTTCCCTTCCACCCACCCCAGAAAGAGCAGCATAAGGCAAAGTGAACAAATTAATTTTTAGTTACAAACAATTAAAGAGTTCACTGTGCTCTTTCCAGTTAGGTACCGAGAAGTGCATGTATTCAAACAAAACTACTGTTGCACAGGTATCCCCTAACATATTTGCACTTCTGAAGGATTCACTGGGCCAAGTTGGATTTCAGCAACTTTGACAGTGGAACAAGTAAAACATACTCGTCCCATTGTTTCACTGCTTCACCTCTTCACCATCCTACCAATGCCACACAACCGAACAAATAGCTGCAGTAACAAACAAGCACTAGCAACATATGGAGAACTCACCTGTTTGCTCAGTTTCTCCCACTGAGTCTGGCAGTCTGCTAGCCTAGACTTTGCCCAAGTATTTATGCTTGCAATAGGCTGAGCTCTTAAAGCAGACTCCACTTCTTTCATCTCCTTCAGTGATGGTTCAATTGTCTCCATTTCATTGACAAACATCTGAGCACACATCAGAGAAAATGAATGTTCTTCTTTAGCAAGACATTACATAAGTTTATAGAATACCAATATTTTTTTAATTTTTAATTATTCCAGAGAAACTTTAATAAAAAAGCAGATTGATGTTGTGTTCAATACCAGACTGTTTAAAACAATCCCTCAGTGGCCCAAAACATCAGAACCATGCAACGAAAAAAACAAAATACAGCTTGCCATACACAGCACAAACATTCTCACATGCCAAATGTCAACACTGGAACAACGCAAGTTTGAAGATTATGTGCATTGAATACCCTGATGTTTCTGGCATACCTCAGACTCGTATTCTTCTTCTGGAAGCAAACATTTGAAGGTACACTGTAATTACTTACTATAAGATAAAATTCTACCTATTTGTGATCATTATGTGCCATTAGCTAGGAAGGAATCTTACTTATAAGGCACATACAATTCCTAAACCTTAGGAGTTTCATCAGAGTTATTTGCTTGTTATTTTTATTGCCCTAGGGAGTTTAATGCAGAAAGCACTTTTCACTCACAGATTCAATTCCCTAATCACAAAATTGGGAAAAATACATAAACATTTTCAGCAGAAATAAAGTCAATCCACAGATGAGTATTTGTAAATATGGTGAAGACCTTTGAAAAGTACAAAGTATTATGGCTACACACAAGGAACCAATTAAAGTGCGCCCTGAAGAAAGATAAGACAATTCTTCTGGCAGGCTTTATGGAATATGCCACGGACAATATTTAATAATACATGCAAAATAATAAAGAAGAGATGCTAGTCATTATTTATTTCAAAAGATTCCTTAAAAGAGCAAAACTCACTGTGCACTGGTCAAGTTGTCTTTGAAGACCTTCGGTATCTCCTTGAACAGCCTTTTCTGTCATTAAGAAGTCTTTCACACCATTCATCCACTTCTGAACAACTTTTGAATCAGCCTAAATCAAATATAGTAATGAAGAGTTGATAAAATGCCATGATGAAGAATGTATGGCTGTTGCATTTCAACTTCTAGCAGTGTCAAAAGAATATTCTACAAGCTGCTAACATTGTCTTGGTTTTGAATCAGACCACCTCTGGTTTAATTTTTGGTTTTGGTTGTTTGGGGGTTTTTTCCTCCCCAATTTCTTTGTTCTCAAATTTATATAAAAATTAAATTCACAACAGTGATATTCTCCCATCCATGCCACAGCATGATTTAACTGACACTGCGCTGCTCCAGGCTATCTATCACACAGAAACACGGGATCAAGGAAGGAGGCAAGCACGGCTTCAAGAAGTATGTGGTTACCCTTCACACGAAGGACCTGGCTGAAGGCTGGGAACAGCATTTTCCTGATGACATAAACCATGTACGACTGCTTCCACCACACTCGTTTGAGAGACATATTGCACTCCAAGGAAAAGAGAGGACCCTATAGAAATATATGTGGGGAGAAGAGGAGGGGGTAATGCTAAACATACTTGACAGGTAGAAGCTATGCTGGGAAAGCCATTTGCTCTACAGAGAAACACAGGCATAAGGAAAATACCACAGAGGATTAGACTAACCACTAAAAAAAAAAAATCTAGCTGTTTGAGGCCGATAGCAGCTACTGTACTCACTAGAGCAATGCACGGGGAAAAAAAGTAAATACATGCACAATTTCAGAGTTATCTGACCTAACATTGGCAGTTGCCTTATATCCTGCGATGAGGTAGGTAGGGAGGGAGACAGGAGGGTTGTCATCTTCTTCCCATGCAATTGTGGATGTTCCCAATCACCCTTACAAACAAAACCACCAAAAAGTTAGAGCAGGGAGAAAGTTTTTCCTTGTCCTGGTTCAACTAAGTTATGTGATTGTCATTTGTTAATAATATAGTTGGACTTTTTTTAATCAACATTTTTGGACTGTTTGGTTGGGTTTTTTCATAGATGGCATCTTTTTAACACAATTGTCACCACAGAGCACTGTTATTGAGAAGCCGAGTCAAAGCTCATCAACTTCACCTTCTACGCTGCATGTCACCGAGAAGGAAAGCATACACTTCGTTTCCTTAAAAACCTTGCAACAACAGTTCTTTCAACATCAATACGTTACACACTGCTTCTCAAAAAAATGTCTGCACTAATGAAAATCCATTAGACTAACATCATGTTTATTTTTAGGCCAATGCTACCATTAGAGGTCAAAGTCATGACATTTTCTTCATTCCTTTTCCATTTTGGGGGAACTTTCTGCAGTTGATTAGCATGAAAATCATTTTCCAAAAAACAGACCCCAGGAGGCTTAACAGTGAACCATGGCTTAATGTAAAAAAATACATATTTATAAAGGCTGCCATTTGACAAGGCATTTTAGCATATACCTAATTTAGTTTGCTTACAGTAAGCTAGCTACATAAGTAGCTGAAGTGAATTAAATGGGATTACTCAAGTTAGGCACACATTTAAATAACTTGCTGAATCACAAGGCAAGTCTACAGAAGTTTAACGAAGTAAATGCTCCTGCACTGCGTGGGTAAATAATTACCAATTGTCAAATACCCAGTATAGGTTGTTGATGTACAAGAGCTCACAATTTTTAGACAGGAACTAAAACACTGGATCAGTTTCCAGGCAGGAAAAAGATCAAATGTGCTGAATTTTAACTTGTCCGCTCCTAGAAAAACCACATGACGTATAGCCATGCAGTCGATTTAAAAGAACTGAAAGTGATACATAATCAAAGACACAGGAGGTATGATAACAGAGAATACAAGAGACAGAAATTTGCTTGTAGAAAATACAAGATGCAAAACTGATAAAATGAGCCTTGTCTACTTTTCCCATCACATGACTGTTACAGTCAGTCTCACAGTAAAACACAGATCATGTCACTAATGCACGTGTTGTCAGCTTGGGGGAGCCTCTGTCACATCACAAATTACGGAAGGGCCACCTGAGCGGCAGGACCCACAGGCCAATCTGCCACCGACTAGCTCATCAGACTAACAAGGACATTTTAAGCACTGTTCGCCTGTCTGCTCATTGTTAAAATGAGAATACTTATGTTCAGTTTCTTTTCAAAAACCTAAATGTGAGGAGTGCTGTTTTGGGAAATGTCAATTTTTAAAGGTGAGTTAGGAAAAAAAGAAACATTAAAAATAAACGCTCGTGTGTAGCTGCACGTGACCACATGTTCTCCAAGGACTGCCATTCACTTACTCTTTTTTTTTTTTCCCTTTTCTCCCCATTTCTAGATTTTTTTTTTTTCTTCCCTTCAATAGCCAGACTCTTCTTCTCCCCTCTTAACCAAGAAGATAATACCCAGCCATTCTCCAAACTAATCTTGTGTCTCTGGAATCACATCTCCAGTACTGACCCATTCAGTGTCTGCACCAGGACTATATACCCAGTCTCCCTTATCAATCTTTCTTGCGGTGCAAGTTCCATCCTGACCTGTCCAATGCCATCCACAACATTTTTATTCAACTTGCTCCACATTCTCATTTTTATTCATACAGTGCTAGACTACAAAAATCTCTGTATAGATTAGTACCACTCCTTCAAAAGGGAAAAATCAGAGAATATAAATACATGGCTGTTCATCCACTGACAGCTTTATGAAACATTTAGAAAACACAGGAACTGTGTACTTAAAAATTCAGTTCGTGAGAAAACACCCCCACTGTAAGCCCCATATTTCTACAGATAGCACCACTACATATTTCTTCCATTTTTAATTATTTAATAATCACTTCCATTGTTTCTTCTGCTTTAATTTCTTTTCCAGCTTCTTTTTAAGGTAACAGGAAAGTTTTTAACATTTCGCTCAGGACAAAATTCTGTTCTCAGATCTATACAACAGTGCATGGCTTCAATGCTCTGCTCTCTGTAGCTCTTCAAAACTCCCATAAAAATCCACATCTTTCATCAGTGCGTGCTTCACATACATGGTGGTACCAACATCACTTTGGACAGCTGTGGAGAGCAGGGCACTTCACTTTTGGCTGAAAAAACTGAATAACTGATTACTAAATAAAAACCTGTCATGCTAATACTGCACACGTGTACCCTACTCTCAGTTAAACATGAGAGAGAATTTCAGTTTTCAGGAGCCATTCTTCACCCATTTATAGCTGTAATTTAGGAAAGTAGGTGCATGTACAGACCACTCAACTGAGTATGATTCAAGTGCAGAAAAAGAAGAGTTCTGCACTTACAAGAAATTAAGGGAGAAAAAAATGCTGCTAAAACTGGTGAGGTAAGTAGGTCTTGCTCAGTGTAGCTACAGATAATCAAGACAACTGGAAAGCTGCAATCATTTGAATAACAAGACTGATAGAAAGTTGTTGTACAAAGGATGTTGAGGCAGGCTTACATGCAGCATATTTATTCTGTTATGCTAAGTAACTAGTAAGTGTAACCAGAAAGAGAATAAGACATGGTGGGATATTGTACATTTAGGTCAAAGTCAGGAGAAAAATTAATGAGGAGGTGGTTGCTGGAAAGTAATCACAAAGGGCTTGGCTAAGCCTTAGAAGTTAATTTGTTTTAGGCTCCTGTACAAGCCAGCTCACTTTGGGCAGTCAGCTCCCGCTGACCAGCAGCATCAGCTCCTCCACAGCTCCACATCCCACAGGCTGCTGCAAGTAGCTACGGAAGGATGGGTTTGAAGGAACCAGACTAAAAGCAGAAACTCTTTCAAATGTAGGTGCACAAGTACACATAATCCTGAACATGTTTTTTAAAGGGGGACAGGGGGTGGCAGGGACAGCTTTTCTCTTTATGCTTCTGGTAATACAGCCTAACAATATTACATGTGTTATATAAAAGAAATACACATTTTTCCTCTGAAAACCTGCAATTCCTCCTTCTATTCATATGTTGGTTTGTGGCTTCCATTTACAAGTTCACTAGCCTAGACTGGACTGGACTATACCTACATATGCTACTTATACACACACATCCCACACAACCCACACACACACTGCTAGGAGCAGCTCAAGTCCTGAAAAAAAAATTAGCGAATAACACTTTAGAAGCAGGAGCAAGATTTTCCCTCCAGCCTTTTTCCCCAGGTAAAACTTTTCATGGGAGCATGGGTGTGCACTCTGCTCTTAATTGTCATTTAGTCACAATCTGTTACCCCTACTATGACTTCTCCCAGGTTTGCAGTTTGGGGGGGGGGGGGGGGGAGAAAA